TCTCTGTCCCAAAAATAAATAAACGTTGAAAAAAAAAAATTTTAATGTCATCCATGTAAAAAAACATTACATAAGGTAATTACTAAGCTCCTCTTTTCTTCATTTCCACCTATAGCTCTTTAATTTTTCTGTTCATTTTGTCATCTGCTAATTCAGATGTGAAAATTCACACAATAAAGTAAGCAGATTTACTCCTTTTCTATATTCTCAATCAAGTACTTCTAGAATTAATCCCAAGAGAATTTAAACCGTATTATGGGCAATTATCCCCAGAAAGAATGTTGTCAGCACACTTGATCTAACAAGTATGTATTTGCTGAGAGCTCCTGTTCGTATGTTGACTGCCTATTTGTTCCCAACTCGTGACTTTGAAAAAGTTCAAAGCCACAGGAAGGTGAAGGAACAGTACAAACATCCATATATTCTTCACCTGGAGCCCCATTTGCTTGTTTTCTCTTTCAACAAACATCAGGTGGAACCATAGGCATTAGCTACTATTTCACTGTTTGTGACCTAGAAAAACAGCCATTTCGCATGAGCCAACTCAATCCACGTATATTCAAAGTAAGTTGCAGAAAATATACTAATTCACCCTAAAATACTTTAGCACACATCTCCCGAGCATAAAAACATTCTCCTATACAGCACCAAAACTACAATCACACCTAAATAATTAATTCCATAATATCATTTACTACAAGTTCATATTTAAATATCTACAACTGTCACCAAAATGTCTTTAGTAATTTTGGGGGGACAAAGGGGATCCATTCAACCAGATATCATGCATTGTCTTCGTTTTTTTAGGACACTGTTTTTTGTTGCTTTTCGTAACACTGACATTATTTAAATAGCCTAGGATGACTGCCTTGTAGAATGTCATACATCCTGAGCTTATGTGATTGATTCCTGATATATTTAAGATAAATACTGTTGACGATTCTACACAGATGCAATGCAAAAAGAGGCACAAAAATATCAGGTTATCCCCTAATAATCAGTGTTTTTTTTAACATAATTATAAAAATTTCCCAACATATTCTTAAGTAGGTAGAACAGTATAAGGAATACACACATGGACTCCCTAGCAATTATTTGCTCATGGCTCAATTTGATTCATCTGTAGCTCTACTCAAATGCCCTCCTTCCAAATCATTTTGAAGCAACTGCAGACATAGTATCATTTCACCCGTATCATGGGCAAATACAGTCTGTGTTCTAGGTTCTGTTAACTTATTTTTGTAACTCACAGTTCATTTGTATCATGATTTGAATAGGGTCCAAATACACATCAATAGGTCGCAGGTGTCCTTTTTTTTCTTTTGGTAACTTACTTTTGAACAAACTGGGTCATCTGATTGTAGAGTTTGCAAGAGTCTGGAAGGCTGAAGTTTTGTTTGTTTGTTGCAGCTGCAAGATGATATTTACCAGACTCCCCTGTCCCTGTGGATTTCCTGTGATTTGGTAGTTGAAGTTATAAGCTCAGCAGATTCAAGTTCACTTCTTTCTGGGAAGATGATGACTATTTTGTAGGCATTGCTGCTGCTTTATTCAGAAAGCACAGCATGTCTGGCTGTCTGTTTTTTTAGTGGTGATGCTCTCTGATCAACAAGTGGGGGTAGGACGTGCCAGATTTCTCCTTAGCAAAAATACCTCTTCCCCTTTTTACTTAGTGAGAAATAAGTAGGGTGATAGTTGACATTCTGTGGATATCCTTCCCCTGATAACAATTCACTCAGTAGTTTCAGCAACCATTGACAAGTCTTACCTGAATCAATTACTACACACTAGGGGTTGCAAAATGGTCATTTTCAAATTTGATTCATCCTTTATGTACTAGCTGGCACTCTTCTGGAACACAATATTCTCTTTCTTGCTGTCTTCCCCTTTCCCCTTCTCTCCCTCCCATGTAGATTCATGGAATTTTTTTTTTATTCAACGTGTTATATAATCCATTACTGTCACCATTATTACTGATGTTCAAACTGTCCTAAATTTGGCCACTGGGGGAGCTCCTTCAAAAGAGTTTCTATGTCCTTTTGACACAACCCTAATAGTCTGTGGGCACCTCTTTCCTTTGAGGCACAACTGTGCCAAGTGAGCCTTATACTTTCCCTGCCCAGACCTCGGATCAGCCATTTCTCCAAGGTGCACTGGCATTTAGAAATCAGATCTGAGAACTCGGTGTGCTCCTTGCTGGCTAAGTATCACTGCTTCTAAGCTCTTTGCCAGGACAGAGCAACGATATTTTAAATATCCCAAATCACATGTTCATAATGACACCTTGAACTCAAATCCAGTACAGCAACTCCCCCATTAGTATCTCCCTTCCCCCACAATGAAAACTCCAACTCTCAGGGCACCTGGGTGGCTCAGTTAAGCGTCCGACTCTTAATTTTGGCTCAGGTCATGATCACTGGATTTGTGAGTTCGAGCCCCGTGCAGAGTCTGCTCAGGATTCTCCCTCTCTCTGCCCCTCCCTCGCTTATGTTCTCATTGTCTCTCTCAAAAATAAATAAATACTTAGAACTTTTTATTTAAAAAAAAAACCTCCAACTCTCACTATTTCTCATATACATACCCACTTGCTTTATCTACAACACACACAAAATAGTTTCCAACTTATACCACCAACAAACACCACTACCAACAATAACCACCAACGACAATCGAGTTTCAGATTTCTTTGCAGTCCTTTGGATCCTTGGCATATAGTCCCACTACCTACTAGACCTCTGCCCTGAGATAACCTGCCCATCACTGAACTTGAGGATGCAAATGTACTTTACCTGTACTTCCCATTTCATCATATGAATATTAAAGAGGTGTCCTCAAGGCTTGAGATTTTCATAAAATAATATGTATTGCTACAAGACATTCTTATGTGAAACTGGCACTTAGAATTATTACAATTAACTACGTCCGTGTGGAACCCTGAAATGGTCTCAGCATTCGGGCAGACACAGAAAGAGTTCTAGTAACAACAGCAAAACAAAAAACAAACAAAAAAAAACACTGCCACATTTATGCTGAGAAGCTCCTCACAAAGCCTGACATGGTTCTTGGCAGAAAAATTAAAACTTTTCTTCAGGAGGTAAATTTAACAGTATTTGGCACCCTTATCTTTCTTTTCAAAGATACTTTTGTTAAGCCATCACAACCAATACACCAAAAAAACACTTGTAACTGGAGAAGCATAAAGTGTGTTAGATTTTAGGGAGTTCAGTCCCTAAAGTGGCAATGAGGGATCGTGACTGGTTTCAGTTATCTTCCGTTTGACTTACCACCGTTCTATGAATCAGAGAGCTCCACTGGCTCAGAAGCCTATTTTGTTGTTGTTGTTGTTAAATTCATTTATTTTGAGAGAGAGCTGGAGAGGGGCACGGAGAAGGGGAGAGAGAGAATCTCAAGCAGACTCCTCACTCAACTCTGAGTCCAACACGGGACTAGATCCCAGGAACCAGGAGATCATGACCTGGGCCGAAACTACGAGTCAGATGCTTAACCAAGTAAGCCACCTAGGCGCCCCCAGAAGCCTGTTTTAACATAAAAGGTGAAAGAAGGAAGCACATCCCATGTAATGATTTAACAGAAGCATCCGTAAGGAATGGATAGGCTGGAAAGGCTGGCAATTCGAGTAAATTTCTTCCGGCCACAACTGCATCAGCCCCGGGCTGTAGCGGCAGCACCCCCCAACCCTCGGCCCCCGCCCCATGCAAAGCCTATGTCGGCCCAATTCCTCCCTCTTCATCTAAGACTTCTGCATCTGCTCCAGAGGTACCATTAGGGCACTGTAATTACCAATTGGGAACAAAAGGAAAGAACACGCTTTCAAAAAAGCAAACACCAGTAGGCATTCTTGGGGCATTCAGGGCTCTGTTTCTTGCTGCCTAACTTCAAAAGGCATGAAGAGTTTCAGTCACAAGCTCTAGGATTTAGCAAAAATCTTCATAAGATACTCAAGTGTCTTCAATAAAAAATGCTATTTAACAGACTCGA